GTCAGTTTGATTTCTTTTTCTATCCAAATAGATTTTGACCGATGGAGAATAAGTCGCGGTCGAGCATTTATTTCATATGGACGAAGACGACGAATACATTGTTTGGTCGTTCGTTTTTCTTTTTTCCTCTTCTTCTTTTTTCTATTCCTCTGCACTGCAAGAAACACAAAAAAAAATCTGCATATCATTTCAGTCCGACCATTTGACTGCTTGGAAAGAAAGGAAAAGAAAACTACGTCGTCATTGTATTCACGTGATTCACGTTCTTTGTTTGACTAGTAGAGAATGTGTTGCTGTTGTCTGACATGTTCACAATCATTCTATAGACTATTGAATGTAATAAGCACACGTTATTTTTTCGAAAATAAAATTTTTCTATCGGTTGATGATGATATTTATTGTGATTGAGATGGATTTTGATATTATTCCATCATATGAATTACATTCACAATGCAGTGAACGCTGAGACCGAATTTTTGTATGTTGCTAAAGAATTAGTTGTTTTCTTTGTTTTTTTTTTGTCTGTAGATCATTTTTCTAATTCATTACTATTTTTTTTCTCTCTATTGATTATTAAAATGCCAGGTGGCAAAGCTGGTTAGTTGAATATTCTTTTTTCGTAATTTTATTTTATTTAATTAAAAATTATATTTAGGAAAAGATCATGGTAAAGCTAAAGCTAAAGCTATTTCACGAAGTGCACGTGCTGGTCTTCAATTTCCTGTTGGTAAGTGACTTCTGTTTTTTTTTTGTTTATTATTTTAATTTAATATATATATACATATTCAAGGTCGTATTCATCGTCATTTAAAATCTCGTACTACATCACATGGTCGTGTTGGTGCAACAGCTGCTGTTTATACTGCTGCTATTCTTGAATATTTAACAGCTGAAGTACTTGAACTTGCTGGTAAGAATTGCAAGGAAATAAAAAAATTTCATTATTAAGTTTTTCTGTTTTTTTTTATTTAGGCAATGCATCAAAGGATCTTAAAGTAAAACGTATTAATCCACGTCATTTACAATTGGCTATTCGTGGTGATGAAGAATTAGATACATTAATTAAGGCTACAATTGCTGGTGGTGGTGTTATTCCACATATTCATAAGGTATGTTTTTTATTTAGATGATTGATGATAAACAATGATTGATTGTTTGTTTGTTTTAGTCACTCATTGGAAAGAAAACACCAGTTCAAGGTAGTTTACCTCAAGCACCAGCTAAACCAGTCGTACAATAAAATAAAAAAATAATTAATCAACTAAAAAGAAAAAAAACCGCTCTCATTTTTTTTTCATTATTAATATCTAGTTTGTTCCTTTTTTTTTTCTTCTTCTTCTATTTGTTCTTGTCATTATTTGTTAGTTAATGAAGATCGATCTAGAGAATTAAACATTTGTATAGATCTTCTTTTGTCAAGTTTTTTCTTTTTCTTTTCTTCGTTGTTTGTTGTATATTACTTATCATTGCATCAATGATATGTTATTTCTTCTTGATTTCTATTGCTGTGGATTTATGTATGAGCGTGTTTATGTCTTCGATAAAGATGTATATTCTCTCTCGCTTTGCTTTATGTCATTTGCCTTTATGTGTGTAGTTATCATAAGAAACATATGAAAATAAAATGAAATAAAATTATATGAATTATTTTATTGATATGAGAAAATGATACAAGTTTTGAATGTTATGAAAAAAAGAATTTTAATATCATGCTATGCTTCGAACACATGTAAAAATATTAGAGTTACACTAAATCTAAACATATGTTAGCGATGATTTTCTTTTTCTTTATTAAAGATGTAGTTCGTTGTATTTTATTTGTAATAATCATGATCAAGTTTGCTCGTTCTATCCGAGCTTATAGTTAGAGTTCATGAAATATAAAACGAAAGTGTCTGAATTAGTGGAGAACTCATAGCTTTTAGTTTTTTTGATTCATTCCAGTTGATTTTAAGATCTGTTGTTTTGCATTAGACACTCATGTCACAAAAACCGGATCAACTTTAGCGGTAAACCGCGGTTCTCTGCGGTTAACCGCGGTTTTTCTATGACAAGGAGTGAGTAACCGAACCGGTAAAACCGCGGTTAACCGCCGATTTTTATCACATGGGCAATTGTTAATTCTTGAATTCATGGCGATTCTTCATATCCAATGTGCTCAATTTTGAATGCTCTTTCTGAATCTATTCTTAGGTTTTGTCTAATGTAAGACACAGGCCTGAAAATCAGTTGGAATTGAACGAAAAAAGCTAAAAAGTGTGAATTTTCGACCACCTCTGAAACCTTTCTTTTATATTTAACGATTTTCGGCTACAAGATCCAGTAGAGCAAGAAAACCGGATTAAGGCTAATATAAACAATTCACAAGGATTTCTATTATTAATAAAGAGAAAAAATATCATCTTTGACGTCATATTGTAGGAATCAGCGTATTCCTATAAAATATAATCGATTACTTTTTTTTTTAAATCTATTTCATATCTAAAAAAAAAGAATCAATTTTCTGAATCTTATAAGCTTAGATGAAATTGTGACAGGTATACGCTTAGTTTGCTTTTTTTTTATTTTAAATTTTAGTAGGGATACACAGAAGAAGACCACGTTTCGACTTTCTCAAGTTTACTTGAAGACACTTTGTATTCGTTTGTAGCTCTATGGTGCCCAAGATTTTTCTTTGATTGGACTCAACCGGTTCACTTTTTCAACAATGTTTAAAATAATGTAAATTTGTTCGTCTTTGAAATAGTCTTGTGAGAAAAACTAAGTGAATAATTATGAACAGTAACGATTAGGTGATCCACTGACTTCATAATCACTGTCTAGTTTGCGTCAATGAATAAATTTAACATACATTATGATTGGAAACACTGAAATATCTTTTAATTATATATTAATTAAGCAATTTTAAGTTTATCAGCTAAACAACTGGGTTGATTCTTTTTTTAGATGATTTATGATTTTGTTTTAATTATTTTGTAACATAAGATAATTCATATTATCTTGCGGTCGATACGGTTCATTGAATAAGAATAACGATGATGAAATAGATATTTTTTTTGATTTATACGTTACTACTCATGAACAGTGTCGTCATCGATTAATCGTGATTGTGTAATGATGCTTGATTTTCTTTTATGATAAAATAAGTAGAAGAAGGATTAAGTGGTACTTACTTTTCTAAATTGTGAATGTATCTTTAAAGTTCTAATTTTTCAATTTCTGCTGTTCACTTTTACTGATCATCTGACAATTCTCTAGATCGTACACATATTCTTATCTTTACTATAACTTTAGCAAGTAAACTTTCATTATATAAACAGTTCATCATATAAATTGTGTGATGCAAGATTGATTAACAATCAAAACTAATTCTTGTTTTATGCTATTTTTTGATTTAGATTTGATAAAATTCTTAATTATAGTACATGAATCTCTCAGAAGTAAAGAAATGTCTATGATTAGTTCATTGTTAAAAGGTTATAATGTACCAATAAAAATACCTGATTGTGTTACATGACATAAAAAAATATGAAGAAAAACGTTGAATGAATGTCTAATAAATATGATAATGATTATGAAAGTTGGATAGGTTGTATCAAAGATGATATATTAGACTATCGTGAGTAATTATTTAAGCAAAATTATTACGAGTCTAATACAAGTATATATCGAATATGATGCATACAGAAAACTACACTATTGCAAATGTTTATCTTTCTTATATTTTGTTTAAGACATGATATAAACGAAGTTTTGGATTTAATTTGTATATATAATCATGTGGTATTTAGTTTCGATATATATGAATTGACTATTGACCACTTGCCAAGTAGGCTGGCTAGAATTTTGCCAATAGGATATTCAACAGTAGCAAAAAACCAGCGGTGTATTGACGAAAGTTCCAGAACTCCACCAAATTAAGAATCCAATAACTTTGATCGTTTCTCATCTGATATTGTTTTGTTCCAGCATTTGAAATGTTCAGTTCTAAAAGTCTATTGTGTAAATATTGAAAAAATAGCTGACAAAAAAAAAAGAAATGACTAAATCATGTTTTCAAACAATGAGAAGTTTCCAGCTATTGATGCGAATCAATTTTCGTTTTTTTAAATATACACGTGTCTCTCGTGTACGTTTAATTGCATGTTTAATACGAATTCCATATAGTGTCTTTTAATCGCGTAAAATAATAATTTTCAAATCTAATTAATCGAAAATTTTTTGAAATTATTGATTATTCAGATATTAAGATATGAATATATTCTAAAAATTTGTTAAAAAAAACTTAGTTCCACAACTTGTATATGATTGATCAAAACATTGAAGCTTGATGAAAATGCCATATCTTATATATCTTTGGACACGGTGTGAGCTGCTCTACAAAACTATTTGTAGATCATTTCCATTCTCAATGGTTAGCGAAATTTGATAAGGTTCTTTTTTTTTTCTATTGATATATAGTTCATGTACCTCTGTTTACATGATGCGAGATGCAAGCGAAAATTGCTTTTGAAAATACTGGCTAGTACTCATTGTTAGTTCGAACTAATATGGGTACGATTTTTAGCTTTTTTTATAAGTTGTTTGTGTTTGTAAAAATAGTCCTGTACTGAAAGAGTTACCAAATATATAAGCCAATGAAAGCCTAGCAATATGGTTACTGTTTTAGCTATAAATCTTTGAAATTCATATTATTGTATTGAAAAAACTGCTTCGCATTCATTTGTTAAGATTTTTTAATGCAAGACCGTGCATATATTTTTGGTAAAGTGCACAACAAACGAATACAATAGGTTTAAATTTATAGCAAATAAAATGTGCCAAATCAATAAAATAGTTATAAAAAGAATCCCACGTAAAGAAAAATACAAGTAAAAAATTGTCAGATGATACTCTTAGAAATGATAAATAGATAAGTTATCATGCAAATAGCTTATGTAATTCTTTTCAAGACGAAGAAGAAGAAGAAGAAGAGAATAGTATCAAAATAATAAAATCTTATGGCAACAAAAAAAACTCGAGCAACTCAAAGTCCTAATAGAAAGGTATGTATAACTATCTTACAAGTCTTCATATACATATTTTTTTGTTTTTAGGCACAAGTACATCCCCAACATAGTATAAAGTAAAGAGAGTTAATATCTATTTTGTTTTTTCTTTTTATTAAGTATATTAATAAAAATCTTAGGGAAGATGTTCCACTTGTTCCGCTTGGAGGTTCACAGCGCACATCAGGTAATTATTTCCTTGCTGGTTGATCATTGGTATTTATATTATTTTATTGTTTCTAGTAATCGAAGTTAATAATTTATCTGGTCCAAAAAAAGAAACTATTTCTGTAAATACTAATCGGTTTTTTTTCTTAAAACTTTGTTGTCTTTTTTGAACTCATATTTTTTCTTTATTCTAGTATAATGGTTATGAATATCAATTGATACCAGTTGAAATTCCAAAAGTTTGATAGTTTTAGTTTTTTTTTCTTTTCAATAAATATTAATGTTTGCTTATTTAGGAGGCAGAAATAGGTCTTGTTGTTGGTCATATTGAAGGTCAAAATTGGGTATTTATTGATGAAATCCTACCAAATGGAATGATCGAAATGCATGGTAAGTTCAAATGCAAAAAAAAGAAAATAATTCAAAATTTTCAAACTAAAACAAGGAAACTCTATATGAACATGTTTCAAATCCGGTTTAAATAGTAGTTAAAAAGTTATTTCAACAGTTTAAACTTTGTTCGTAATATTCTTTGTTATCAACTGTGTCAGCGTCTACAGTTGAATACTTTTGTTGTTTTTTGAGATGAAAAATATTTATACTGTAATCGACAAAAACTGATTCATTTATAGGTGTTCTTAAAGAAGGTGATTATTTAATTCAAGTTGGAGTTTATAGTCTTACCGGAGTCAATATCACAAAAGCTTTGTTACTTATTGAAAGTGCATATGATGAAGGACGAAATGTAAGTTTTTTATTGAGATTTTAATTATTTCATAGATTTATTTTTTTTAGAGTTTATCATTTGTTGCTGCTCGTCAAGAAAAATCGGATGCTAAAAAATTACAAGCAATGGAATCACAAAATAAAGACAAAATAGTTCATGTAGAACCTCGTAGAGAATCAAGAGCACGATCATTTCTTGAATATGAAAATGAAGAAGAAGAAGAAGTAGAAGAAGAACCAAAAGAACAAAATAAACAACGTAATTCAATAGAAAAAGCTGGTCGAGATACAACAAAGTTCTAATATAAAATAAATAAAATTTAATTGACTAGAATGAACATTGTTTTTAACAAATATTATTTCATTTTCAATATTACGCCAATCGTAAAGAAGAAAATTTTTCTCAATTCCATTCATTACAATTAATAAACCACGAGGAAAATTTTTATTCAATAAACTACTTGTTGCTTCTATACCATCTGTTTTATCAGCACGTGTTTTTATTGATTTTATATAAGAATTTGTTCCTTGACGTTCATAAATATGAAATATTGATCCATTTATTATCTGATCAGTTATTATTAAATATCCATGTTTATCAGATGTTGTATATAAAGCAAGTCCTTCGGAATCACCTTGCCATAGATTTGTTGTATTTATAAAACCAATTTGTTGAGTTTGATTTGTTTGTGGATCAATATTATATTTTCGAATTCCATAAGATTCATCTGAATAATAAACAAAGCCAAGTTGATCATCAACAACAATTGATTCAATTTCATCTCCTTGAAAATCACCAAAATAACGAATAAATTTTAAATCAATCGATTGTCCATTCCAAATTAATTCATATTGACCAAGATAATTATGACTAGGACCTGATTTTCGACTAACAATAGCATAAATTTTCCCTTCATCTATTCGTTTGTATAATGCTAGACCCATGGGAGCTGCATGATCGCCAGAACTATTAACAAATACATTTGTATTTTGTCCAGTTAGTTCATATAATTGACGGTTATTAATATTAATTGAAAACATACGTAAACGTCTTTGTAAACGTTCTGTAAGAACAACTAAATCAATAGAATAAGTTTCATTTATTTTAAAACCATATTCAACATCAACATTATTTGGTCGATCAATATTTTCAATATGTTGAAGAATTTTACCATCAAGATCAAAAACATATAAACCACCTATTCTAGCTGTTTTATCTGTAGCAATAATAAGACTTAATTCAGGTTGATTTGGATGAATCCATATAGCTGGATCATCAGGATCTGTTCGAACTGGTTGAGTTGCAATAGTTTCTTGAATAAACGGTATTAGTTGATTATTATTTATATTTTCATCCAAACAAATATAAGTATTGAAGAAGAAGAAGAAGAAGAATGTTAAAACAAAGATCATAAAATGTTTGCTAAAAGCAATAAATATTTAGTAAAGTAAGAAAAAAAAATAAGAACTTGATATTTAAATATATAAGATAGGATTACGTTTTTGTCTCAATAAGCTGTTTCTTTTTAGGCTTAAAAAGATTCTATGATCGGAATAGATTATTTTTATTGTAAAATCATGATACTCAACTAGTAATTCAAACGATATTTACTAATATTATATCAGTACCTTGCTTTTGGAAAACAAAACAATCAAGTATTTAATCATCAAGCTACTGTAAGTCACTTTTTTCTTTTATTATACAGGCATTCTATAACATCGAAGGTTCATTTTCGTGTGTATAAAAGAGACTATAGAAGATGAAAATGACAGCAAGATAACGTCAAGCTCAATGTATGTTACATCTATTTAAAAAATAATAATACGAAATGACTGGAAAAGTATGTACATATATTTATTGAAAATGTTTCAATCGGTTTTAACTGACAACAGAACAAAACTACAGAATTTCTTAAGAAAAAATAAAAGTAAATCTTTTGCTTCATTAAACATATTTAGAAAAAAAAAAGAACTTTATAATTGTGTAAATAACTTATTTTAAAAAAGAAAATTATATTCAAGTAATGTTTCGCAGCTTATTTATATTCATCATATTATTATTCTTTGTTCGTGTCTTATCTCTACATAGATATCTTCTTTACAACAATACCGATACCAGTGAAGTTCTTTATTTAGACAAATATACTTATTATATCATCGATTCTGTCACAAAAAAAACCCATTTATTTAACTAGTTGTAATCTAGCAACAGTATTTGTTTTATTTGTGATTTACTATTATATAGAACTTTGTCATCATAGAAATATCAAATGACTTAATCTACATTTATTGCATCGTTAGCAATTAAACATTACATATTTGTTTTCAAAGTTTATGTGTATAACATAGCGAAAATATCAATAAGATCTATATCATATATATATATATGTATATTGTCTTACACAAGAAAAGTCTAAAAATAAACATGTAATATATATATTTTTGAAAAATCATAGATTTTTTTTTTACGTTCGAAGCATCAAAAACCATTCATAATATTACGTGATTTTTATGTTCCGATCAGCTGAAAGATAATGATTTTTTTCTAGATTACAATTTAGTGTGAATTTAAGATTATCAAATAAAAATAAATATTTCATATAGAATGAGTAAAACTTCACACTAGACAATAAACACTTTAGATATTCTTATTATACATTAAATCGTTCTAATGCCAGACAAGAATAATATTCACGGTACTTGCCATTGGGCAAAAAAAGTTTTAGCTATTCGCCTTGGCATATTATCAATAATAACAACAACAATGTCGATCGAATGTCATGCCTTACTAGAATACGACAGAATGATCCTTTCATATCGCAGCAAGAAAGTAAATGCGCAACTTCTATTTCCCATAATATTCTTTTAGAACCAAAACATTATACCGACAAATATACATCAACCAAACAGTTGTTCGATTCTTTTTTTGGTCTATTCGGAAAGCCTTATTTGACGCATACTACCAGACATATATACATCGGCAACCTACAGAAAAGAAAAAAGAAAAACGCTGATATATATATACGGATAGACACACACCGAGAAGAGAAAAAAAAACGGAATGATACATCGATAATTTCCTTCTTTAGATCTACATGGTTGTTCTGTTTTTTTTTGTCTATTGCCATTTCTATACGCATTAAAACAATGTCGTCAATGCATGGTGGTGCAAGTAGTTACCAATATCCACAAGGATCAACAAGATCTAATAGTCAATCTATGAACTATGAAAACAATCAAATAAATCAAGATTATTCAAATCCACAACCTCGTCATCTTGAACGTCGTGGAACAAATCCTGCATTAATTCTACCATCTGATCGAATACAATATATTCAACCAAATACTCAAAATTATTCAATACCACCATCTCTTTATGTCGAACGACGTCCAGCAAATCCTGTACCAATTACACAACCAAATCAACCACAATATGTTGAATTAAAGAATTCAAATTTTGGTTATCAAGGTGCTCGTGCTGTACAAGCTCAAACAACAGGCATGTATCATAATAAAAATCCTGGTACACCATCACGAAATGTAAATCCAGCATTAAAAGTAAATCCACCACCATCATCACAATCTCAATATGCAACATATGGTAAAGAAAGTCTTTTTGCTAAAAAAGAAACACGTGGAGAAATTGATGATTCACCAATAATTGATCCACGTGCATTTCAATATTTAAACTTAAATGAACCAAAAGTTCAAAAAAAAATAGCAGCAAGTGAAAGTGGCATTGATTCACGACCAATCATTGATCCACGTGCATTTCAATATTTAAATGAACAAAAAGCTCAAAAAAAATCGACAGCAAATGAAGGTGGCATTGATTCACGACCAATCATTGATCCACGTGCATTTCAATATTTAAATGAACAAAAAGTACAAAAAAAATCAACAGTTGATGAAAGTGGTATTGATACACGACCAATTATTAATCTTGATGCTGTAACACAATTAGAAAAACGTCGACAGCAACAAATTGAAAAAAATAATCGGTTACGTGGTGATGACGGGTCAGGATCAGGTATTGATGGTAGACCCATTGTAGATGTAAATGCTTTTCGTTATATTGAAGCTAAGACAAATAAGATTAAAGATAATGAACAACAAGGACAAGATATGACTGGTGGTATTGATGAAAGACCAATAACTAATCTCGATGCAATTAGGTAAGTTTTGACTTTTAATAATATAAAAAATTATACTTTAGAAAATTTTCTAAAGAGATTTAGAAGCAAGACGTGAACATAAACCATCAAATACTTTAAATGAACCATCGATTGATACACGACCAATAATTAATCCTGATGCATTTAAATATTTAGAAAAACGACAAGAAAATCTACCGAAAGATAATGATGAAAGTGGTATTGATTATAAACCAATTGTTAATCCGGATGCTTTTCGTTATTTGGAACAACCTGATCCACCACCTCGTCGTAAAATTGAATCAGGTGTTGATACAACATCAATGGTTAATCCAAAAGCATTTCAATATATTGAAAGAAAAGAACCACCTAAACCAGAACTAACGGAACCATCTATTGATTATCGACCTATTGTTGATCCACAAGCATTTAAATGGATTGAAAAAAAAGAACCAACACGTCGTGTTGATGAAGGTCCTGATGTTGATGAACGTTCTTATGTTAATCCACAAGCTTTTCAATATATTGATCGTCAACCAGGAAAAAAAAGTGATATATGTGAACCTGAAATTGATACACGTAGTTTTATACTTGATCGAAATCCAAATGCTCTTGTTCATCTTGAACGTCAACCAAGAAACATAAAAGATCAAACAGAAAGTGGAGTTGATGAACGATCATTTGTTAATCCAAAGGCATTTAAATATCTTGAAGGTATGAGCGATGATTTGCCTAACACTTCTGTACATTCATCAGCTGGTCCAGCAATTGACACTAAATCTTATGTTAAACCAGATTCATTTCGTCATCTTGAATTTAAAGATAGAGAAAGAAAACATGATGATAATGATGAAAATCAAGGAGTTGATGAAACATCTTTTGTATCGCCGGCAGCTTTTCGTCATTTAGAATTTACTGGTGAACAAACAAGTCCTCCTGCACAAATTGATTATGCAACATATGGACAAACAGACTTTTAAAAATTCTTTGCTTTTCTTTCTATAAACTGGCTATTTGTCCTTTTTTTTTTCCTCATATTGTAACTTATTTACCTTATGATAATAAATTTAATTTTTTGATTTTGAACATTTGACCACAGAAAAATGATAACTAATCAAATGATGAGAATTGAAATTTCATTTAAATAAATGATCATTATGAACAATGTTCAATTTCTGAAAAATGAATTAGCAATTGTTTCGCTAACTTCTGTATTATTAGATAAACTTATTTCATTGATCTTTATATTCTTAATGAAATCTTATATAAGATGAAGATTTTAAAATCAGACAGATATTGATCGATAATTTGTATAGATGAAATTGGTTTGATTTAACAACAATAAAACAACGCGAATCGATTCTAACTAGAGCTAGATCTCAAGCGATAGGGCTAAGTCGATGAAAACTAGCTCATGAGTAATCGACCTTTGATCCAACCCGTAGGCCATTCATCTAATTACATTGGACATATTTTTAACATGTAAATGAACAAGCATATTTCGCATGCCAATAGTTAATGTATAAATAAACATTCGGCAATATATATGACAACTTACAAGGCTGCCAATTTTCTAGACATCATCACTAGTTTCTGGTTGTTTTAGTTGAGAAATCAAAAACTTACTAACATAAACAAGTGTTTACTGTTTCATTTTTTATAATAGCATACATCCAAGGGTTTTATTTCAAAAGAAATATTATTTGTTTGCATGTATACTATTTTGTATGTAATGAGATGAACCAGGATCAGTAGATAAAGTATTAACAAAAATTTATGATTGATAAGAGGAATAACATTAGAACTAGAAAAAGTGATTGATGATAATGTTGATCGACGAAGAGAAACTTAGGTAAGAAAATTTTCTTTAATATAAGGAAAATTTTTTAAGATCATATCAATATTATCTTTTATTTTATTATTCACGATAAATCTTGAATAGATTCTAATACAAGTAGAGAAAAGCAAACATTGCACCAACTATCAGCGACATCATTCTATTTCTTGTAAATATTTTTCAAACTGAACATTAATATCTATTAACATTTTTGTCTTCATTTGAAAAAGAAAATAATTATTTCTCTCATAATCTTGATTTCATAATTTCATTATCTGATTTGTTTCCATATCAACAAACATATAAAATGGTTGTTTCATTTATGACGTACTTTAACTAAACATTTATTTAAATTTTACAATCAATTTTAATCTATCTATATATTTTATTTTATTATTTTTTTCGTTTATAGCTTAATTCTATTAAAATGAGTACTCATAGTGATGAAGATGAAGATCTTTCTCAAGATGATGAAGATCATAAAATAGATCAACAAGTTGAAGAAGATTTAGATGCTCAACAACAAAATGCTTTTGTTACTGATGATGCAGATGTTGAATTATCAAATCAACAACAAACAGAAGAATTTGAAGATATCGAACCTATTGAAGCTCAACCACCAAATGAAATCGATGTTGATGAACAAGAAAGACAACAATCTGGTACACCTGCTTTTCGTACACTTGAAGAAGTAGAAAATAAAATCTAAAATATTTTTATTTTATTCATTTCTATTGTTTTTTTTTCTTTAAAGTTATTTAAAGATGGAGTTCTTACTGGTACACAAATGGCATTACTTAAATCAAAATATATCGATTTACAAAATGCTTTAACACAGTAAAAATAAAAACTAGTATACAGATTTGTTTTCTTCTTCTATTTTATATAATTTAGATCACGTCAAGCTGAAGCTCGATTACGACAAGAAGAACATACATATTTAGCTCAAATTGAAAAACAAAAACGTATATTAGAAGAAGGTGAATCATTTCCAGATAAAATTACAACTGAAGTTCAACAACGACGAAAAGATTTACTTAAATATAGTAATGATTTAGCATGTACAAATGAACGTTTATTTGATCTTGAATATAAAATAAAAGCGTAAATATTGAAAATTTCTATTTCTATTTCTATTTTGAATTATTTTTTTAGTTTGGAAGAAGATAAACGTGCTTTAGAAAAAGAAAAAGCACGAATACCAAATCAACATGATATTGATGAAAAAATTAAAAATTTACGTAAAGACTGTGATGAATTAAAACGACAAATTGGACAAAAAAAATCTGAAATTAATGATCAAAATATTTTATTAGCAGATAAAAAAAAAAAATTTACTATTACAACAAAACAACATGATGAACTTAAACATACAATTGATACATTTGAAGTAAATTTTGTTTTTTTTTTGTTAATAGTTTTCTATTATTAATTTATTTTATTTTAAGTCCGAATATATTCAAATAACATTACGACCAGCTGAATTAATTAAACAAACAGATAGTTTGTCTCTTCAACGAGAGTAAGATTTATTTTGTTTTAATATATTAAAAATTATTTAGAGAAAAATTATCTATTCTTACAGATTTTAGAAGATTTTTAATTAAAAACCTAAGCGTCTGTATAAATTTTGCTGATTTGCTGCTATTTAAATTTTACTTGAATACATTATAAAAAAAAAAAAAAGAAAAATAATATTTGTAATTAATTGTTTTTTTTTCTTTTAGTCAAACTGAACAAGAAATTGAAGAAATGGATGCACAATTAAAAGAACAAATGAATTCTCTTCAACAACTTCGAGATGAAACTGAAAAAATGAAAACTTTATCATCAAAAGAAATAAGATTAAATGATCAACAAATTCAACAAAATGATAAATTAAATGAAGAAATAAAAAATGTTTTAAATTTAATTGCATTTGAAGAAGCTAAATTAGCTAAAGAACAAATAGACGAGTAAAATTTTTAATATTAATCTTCTTTTGTTTTTTTTTTTATTCTAATGTTATTAATAAACAACTTTTTTTTTTTTTTATGTAGACGTCAATCTACTGAAGCTGTAAAAAGTACAATACAAATGGGTAAACAAATTCGTGAACAACATGCAAAAATACAAAAACAAAAAGAAAGATTATTAAGAGATTTAAAACGTGCTGAAACTCAATATCGTCATGTTAAAGATGAATTATCAAGTGCGAATATGACAATAGAAAAATTACAACTAAAAGTAAATTTTTATTCAATTAAGAACAATATCAGATTTAGATTCAAATAAAATGAATTTCTAATTTATAACTCATTGACTTATTTTAATACTAAATGGTAGATTTACTCCTGATATGTTTAGCATTTTTTCGAGTTCGAGAATATTGAAAATATCAAAAAAAATACTTGTTAGAACATATAAGTCATTCAATTGTAATAAAGAAAAGTCATAACCTTGTTATTTTAATAATCTAGTAAATATGAAAAATACATGTCTTCGAATCATTAGACAGGCGTCTTCTGATATCAACATTAAGTATTACGTGTGTATAATAAGTCTATTATAATGAGCGAATGTTTTTAACTGATCAATCTCTTAAAATTTTCAATTCAAAAGAATATTTCCTACCAAAACTACTCCTATTCCATGAAAGACACTAGAATCTTCTAGTTTTTGGAACTATAATATTTCAGAAAGAAAATATTCTTGTGAAGGTTTTCAAATCACACTGAGGTCTACATTATGCATTGAGTCCGAATTCCAAAGCGAGCGATCAATGCAAAACGTTTTCTCATCAGATAAGATAGTTATGTTATAAAGCTAGCCATGGTACTATATTTATAATATAATCATATAATTCAGTGTTAAATTTCGCAAGTTTGGAAATTTTCTAAAACAAGCTCTTCAAAGTACTGATAAATCGGATTCAGTTTATTGTTTAAGAAATATGTAAAATGTAGATTGGAGACGTTTTTATTACAACTGAATATCATAAACGTTACCTACAAAAAAAAGAAGAATTTGAATATCTTTATAGTTTTGTCAGTAAACACTAGATTAGAAACGTTTCAAAGGACATGTACCCTTGTTACGTATTAGCTGAGCTATTGAATTTCTACTAAATATGCCACCATAGAATTCAAGCTCATAGAAGCCCAACTGCGCTGCTCTCTTCAATAGAACTTCATATTTTCAATAAAATTTTATTAGTATGAAATTCTAACTTGAAACTTAATCCTTACAAAGTTTACGCTTCGACTAATAGAAAAAAAAGAATCAACCATTTTAATTAAAGCACGATCAAGATATTCAAGTTCTTCGAGAGCATATGATAATAATACTTCACTAGTATTTTATCATACTTTTAAAATCAAAATTGTGGTTTTTTTTTTTTGTATGAATAAATTGTCTACAAAGGAAATAGTATTTTACAACACTTATTTGTTCTATAAAATTGTGAATTACGATTAAGAAATAAAAAAGTATGATTTCTATTTGTTTTTAGCGAGCAACAATGCCAACTGATGATACTGATCTTGAAGTTCGAAAAGATAATTTAAAAGATGATATCGATAATCTAACAAAATCACATGAAAAACAGGTTTTGTTTATAAATTTTTTTTTACTATAAAATTCTATAAAAAATTTTTTAGGAAAAAGAAATTATTGTAAAACAAAGTATGTTAATAACAGCTCAAAAAGAACATGAAGAAGTTTTATTAAAACAAAGTGATTATCGTCGTGATGCTGTATCAATGGCACATTTTGCATCTGTTGTATCAAATGAACGTGAACAAAAATGTCGTGAAAAAATGAAAGCTAAAAATCGTTTACAAGCTGTACAAGAAGATTTACAACGTAAAACAGGTGAAATTCATGAACATGACAAACGTATTGTCGATTTAGAAGTTAAATTAAAAGAATTTGCTGCTATGTATGATATTATTAAAAATGAACGTAATAAATGTGTTAATTCAATACAAATAAATAGTCAAAAAGCAAATGAAATGAAAGAAAAATTAAAATTACTTCAAAATGAAATTGAAATTTTACGTACTAAATTAAATATATTAGAAAAAGATTTACAAAAAAAAAATTTACTTGTATTAGCATCTGTTGTTGAACGTGATAGAGAAAAACATAAAGTTGAAAAACAACGTACTTATTTACGTGAACTTAATATACAAGATCAACAACAAACATTAGAAAATCGAAATTATAATAATTTAATTGCATTTGCTGAAAAAGAATTAGTTCGATTAAGAAAAGATTATGATACAGCTGTTTTAGATAGAAATGAACGAAGTGTACAACTTGTTGAAAGATATAATGAAGAAGTTGTTTTTCAAGTTTGTTTAATAATGATTTTTGTTATATTTAGTTTATTGAAATAATTTTTTTTTTAGGAAAAAGTTAATGTTCAAGATGCTAAATTAAAAAATGCTTATATTGAATTAAGAAGTCGAGATGATGAAATTCGATTATTAGAATTACAAATTCAAGAAGAAAAACGAGAAATTGCTTTATTTAAAAAGAAATTACCTGTAAAACGATCATTAGATCAAGAACTTGAATTATATCGAATATGTGTAAGTTAATAAAGAGAGTTAATTTATTTGTATGTTTTTCAAACAAATGAATATACAATATTGAAAGATTTCAAATAACTATGATTTTATCCATTGATTGAGAGACTAATTAAAATTTATATTTCACAAAGAAAATTCCTCAAATAATTAATTGATTTTGAGCTGAAAACAGGTGCATCATGTATATCCTAATGAATTCTGAATACTAGAAAAAGAGTTCGGATTTATAACTTATTACCGTCGATATATTTCATTTGTACAGTGTTCTCTAAAATAATACCGGAGCTCGCGGTTAGGAACACTAAGAAAATTGATTTTCGAAATCGAACTTAAAACTTTACATAGAAAGAAACCTTAGTGAGAATAGTTAATCATAAATATATGAGATATTTTAAAATCATTTTTTTTTTTATATTTCTGAGAGAAATCACGGTATCATATTGAAAAATATCGTAAAAATCCGATTTGTCACTTCTAATTAACTATGAGCTCGAATGCTTTTTGCTATAGTCATGATCCATTAGTTTCTGTACGGTGCAGATATTTCGAACTTGAAAATGATTTATCCATTGTGAAACTTTCCTCATAAAGAAAAACCTTTTGAAATCTCATTATGTAGACTTTTTTAAGAAATTTCCAATCAAATGAATCTATTAGTCTAAATGTCATGAAAATGATTTTTAAATCTTTCAAAAACTTTATATTGATCTTATTCGATAATTAAACACTTGATTTTGTTGCACGAAGGATTAAAGCTTTCGTCTATATTAGAATATCTAAAAACTAGAATAAATAAATATCAAAGACAATTTGAATTTGATAATTACACTCTATTATTGAACTTGTCTATATCTCTGTAAAAATATTATCTTTCTCTTATATCAATGTATCTACTTTCTAGCTTGAATCATGTCAAGATCGTTTAATTGAACTTGAAAAAATTCTTGAAAATCCAAATGATCCAGCACGTGTACGTTTTCTTGATGGTGCTGATGATTCACCTGAAGTAATCATGGAAAAACTTGAACAAGTAATTAATTTATTCTAAAATAATCTCATCTGAAATATTTTATCAAAACAAAAAAAAAAAATCAATTCTTTTAGCTTGAACAACGTTTAGCAACAAAAGAAGAACAATCACTTGAAAAAGATCTTATTCTTGAACAAGTTAATCGTTTAATTGAACGTTTATCAACAAAAGTTGATGCTGGAAAAGATGATACATTAGCATTAGCAAAAAAAGTTAATGATTTACAAAATAAAATTAAAGATATAACACGTAAAATGATGGCTACATTATCAGAATTAACTATTTATCAATCAGATTCATTAAAACTTCAACAAGAAAAAAATATGAAAGATGTTGAATTACAACAATCTTATGCACGAATGGAACAAGTTTGTTATGATTTTATTTTTTATTCATTAATTTAATGGTTTTTTTTTTGTTATTAGGGAGAACCTCCGAGTGATGAACTTGAACGTGAATGGCAACGTGCAAATGAACTTGAACAAAAACGTAAAACTGAACGAAGAATTCGAGAAGAAGTTCGTTATTATTTATAAATATTTTGGGTTTTTTTTTTTAATTCATCGATTTTTTCATTATAGAAAGAACGTGAAACTGAACACTTCTTACTACCAGGCGGCGTAATTACACAAGCTGAACCACGTCCACAAGCTTATGCTCCAAATGATGATGCAGATATTCAAGTAGCAAGACCGTATGGTTCACATGCACCATTTAAACCCAGGTATGATAGATAATTATGTTTATGATAAAATGAAATTTATTTTTATTTTTGTTTCTTTTATTATAGTGAGCCCGGTGCTAATATGCGTCATATTCGAAAACCGAATCCAAAACCAATTGAAATTTAATGTAAACAATGAGCTTTCTGTATAAATAACAGTGATTTAGAGCTTATTTCATCTTTCGTTATGTTTCGAGCTTATTATTCTTTTTGGATATGCCCCCCGAGTTTAAATGATTCATAAATAAAATTTAATAGACATTATAGTAAATTAATAAATTATTATTAATTTGTATCTTATTCATTTGTACAAGTGGAAAATAATTCGACTTAAAAATTAAAACAAAGAATTATATTAGAATAACTTTTTATAGAAACGCAAAAAAAATAGCTTACAAAAATCATTGCTAATCAATGGAAATATATTTCTTTTGTTGGATACCACCAATCAACACTAAAAAATCAACGACTAATGGCATTAAAGAATGCAGCTGCTCTTTTCTTATGATTGATCGTTTGCAAATATTCTTATCTAGCATTACAACTAATAATAGATTTAGTTCTAATGTTATTCTTTTGATTAATATTTTTTTCTCCTCAATTTTAATTTATCTTCAAATACATTTATCAAAAACAAATCCTATTCTGATAGTTTTTCACATTATATGTGGATATGCAAAAACTAGACAATATACGTAATATGAGCCATAGAATTCATCGAATTCATATAAAATTGAGAAAACACAACATGAAAAATTACTATCAGAAGAGAAAATCGTGAAATTTGAAGTCTTTTGGACGTAACGCTAATGTAATTATTAAAAAGAAAAATTTTTATTTCTCGTTTTCATATTGACAAGTGTGCGTATGTATGGTGTATATTGTGTTAACAAAAGAATTTAACTATTTCACCTGCAACATCGTAGAATACCTTATTAGTTGTTTTTAATGGTTGTCACTTCAAAAGCATTCGATGCTAAAACGTGCTATAAATGCGAACCGAACGAAAGAAAAATAACTATTATACTATGTACCAGTTGTCCTCATAGTTTTTGGTGCAAATATTTTAACAAACATCGGGATGAACTTAGAAAAAAAAATCGTAATTATGGTGTCAATCAAGATGATGACATTTTTCAAGAGTTTAAAATAAAAATCAAACATTTGTCAAAAAAATAATCAATGCATGTTGTTTCGATAAAACAGATGAACATAATTCTCTCATTGTACGATTAACGTCTATAACTCAACAATCAGCAAAAATGTTTTGAACTTTGATCTTGATCGATGGATAAAAATATATTGAAGAATTTAAAAAAAAATATTATTAATTGATCAATGCAATTATCACACCAGACATAGACTGAAGAGCATAATATTTCAATACGAGAATGTCAAATATTACTGATCTAGAGATTTGAAACATTGTTTCAATATTTTCATTTCAGTTAAAATAACATTTATCTATTATACTACAAATAAACAATCATTGCTCAATCGTCATTTACAAACGATAATTGAGCCAAAAAAGATGATAAATCGCTCACAGATATTAGAAGAATTGTCAAAAGCACATTCATTGAATTTTACTATGGTTCCTAACTTAATAAGTTAGACAACATAAAAATATACTTCATGCAAAATTCAGCGTATCACAAATGTGCAGAGAATGTTCTGAAATAGACTCTATAGAAATTGACTTTTTTGTAAATCTCGATGAAATTTATGAAATAAATAAAAGCTTTCGTAGTTAGATTAATTGAAAAGATAGACAGAGTTTTAATCAATTTTCTAGCTACACACGTATTGAAAAACTGAAATTATCAGATCTTATATATTACCAAAAAATTGATGTATATTATGCATAAAGTAATAGATTCATCTAGATTTAACATTTCTGAATAATGAAAATTAAGAACTTAATAATAATTATCAAAAAAAAAAAAAATGACTACATCTATGAAAATTTTATTATATCTTACCTTACAAGATGAGACGATATTAATTTGAATTATTCCATAGACACAAACAAGAGTCATTGTCACAGATAATTTGCATAAATCTAGAAATATTATTATGTAAATTCTTAGAAGAAAAATTAAAAACCTACTCGAATTGATTAATCATTTGAAACAAAGAAAATAAAATGTTTATTTTTTAATATTCCAGTAATGACAATTCTTCTATTTAATTTAGACAAAAATGACATTGGCCGCAAGATACTATCGCCTGTCTAATCTAATGATTTCTGCATCATATTCCACATATCCAGGTCAATGATTTGTATATATGAACAAATAATCGTTTCTACATTAGAAGCGACCATTAATTAAGCATGTTCTTCTTCTTCGTTTGCTTATGATGTCAATCACGTAATTTCTCATGCTTATATTCTCTCAATACCAGATGTTCAATGAGAGACAATAAACAGGCATTTCCATCATTCACCAGAATAAATATCTCATATACAGTGCTTATCTTTTTTTTTTGTTTCTTGGTGGCATAAATTAATGTTCCTTGTTCGGAAGCATTTTTTTATTCTATGGTGGTCAAAATCAAAGTATCGAAGTCGATATATGATCATTTTTTTATTAATATTTTTTATACTTAAAATTGCTAGTATTGATGGTGCACGAGTATGTCTGAGTTTTTGATCTTTTCTTTTCTGTTCTTTTTTTCGTGTATATTAGACAAAACAATGTCCTGTTTTGGAATTACCTAAACATGGATTTTTCTTTTCGGGTTATTGTAAACGAACACCAGGTTCATTATGTGGTCTTGGATGTTTAACTGGTTATCGTCTTGTAAATGGAGATAGTTTTCGTGAATGTCGTCAAGATGGAACATGGAGTGGACGTGAACCACAATGTGAAGGTAACATAAACAATTAACATACAAGGTAAAATATTTTCATTTTCATCTATTGTTTTTTTTAGCTATTCGCTGTCCAGCATTGAAAACTCATCCTCGAGTAATACAAGAATGTTTACCTCAACAAAACACTACTAAACTTCACTTTGGTACTAAATGTGAAGCAAAATGTAATAAAACAGGTTATCGATTGATTGGTCCACGTATTCGTGAATGTTTAGTAATGGGTAGATGGACAGGTTATGAACAATTTTGTATTGGTGAGAAATATTGATATACATAAAAAAGAATATCGATGTTTTTGTTTTTTAAGTCGGTATTGAAACAACACCTTTTGTAATTACAAGTTCAACATCAACTCATCTTTTAACAACCACGCCAAAATATTTAGGTATAGTTTAGTTTTTAAAATTTTTTTTTTCTTCTTTATATTGTTTTTGATTTATGATAGATTATTCAAATTATACTTTGCATATTAACAATAACGATACTGGAATCATTTTGACGTCTTTTAATTCATCTGAATTTACTATCATCTTTTGGTTCTATTTGGAAAATAATACAAATACTAATATAATTTCATTAAAACAAAATAACAATAATACTCTATTTGAATTGGTTATTCTTCAAGGCAGGTAAGATGTTTTTTTTTTCTTCAAATTTAAAGACATTTGTATTATGTCGTTACTTTGGTTTTCTTATTTTAATAAATAGACTAGCTATTTGTCATTTACGACAAAACCAAACTAAATCTACAACAACAACTTATGTGAATATTCCAATTGAAAACTGGATACATTTCACATGGACTTATTCAAATAAAAATCAACAATCAAATTTATATATTGATGGTGCACGACAACAATCGATCGATTTCGGAGTAATGAGCCTCGATTTCGAAAGCAAGTAAGCCTATTGGAAAGGCATGTATAAATGATCATTTCGACTTTTATTTATTGAATTAGATGTTACAGGACTAATTCTATTTGAACGATTATTTACTGGTCGTATAACACGTATAGAAATTTGGAAACAAATTATATCTGAACAACAATTACTTGTTAGTTATCGTGATTGTCGAAAACAAAATGGAGATATTTTTTCTTGGTCACAAGTATCTAATGAAATATTAATTAATACAAATAAATTAAAAAGTTCATCTTTTTGTTCAGGTAAAATGAATGTTTTCATTTTCTATTGATGAATTTTGAACTGATAAATGATTATTAATTAGGATGTTCGGAACCAGCATCTATTCTAGGTGGACTTTATCGTGTATCTGATTATGAAGTTGGTTCATCAGTTGAATATGAATGTAATTATGGTTATGAAATGATTGGTGCTAGTCGAGCATTTTGTATGGTACCATCAGAATGGTATCCATTACCACCGATATGTAAATGTAAGATATAATATTATTGATTTTAATTAATCACATTATAATTTATAATAGATAATCCATGTTCATCTGAGTGTGAATTATGTGAGAAAAAAACAGGTGTTTGTTTACGACAACAAGCTAAATTAAATCCACTTATTTGTGATCCTCCATGTGATGAGGATGAAGTATGTATTGATGGACAATGTAGTTGGTCAAATATAGATGACGAAAAACATGATTATCAATGTAATCCACCATGTCCATTCGGTACACAATGTATTAATCGACGATGTGAATCATCTTTAACACCATATTGTCCAGTAATTTGTCGACCTGGGCAAGTTTGTGTTGATGGTCGATGTGGTTGTTTTAAAGGTTTGTTAGATGAATTATAAAATTTCATTTTCTGTTTTTTTTTCTTTCGTATGTTTCAATTCATTAGGTTTATGTGAATATGATCGTCCATGTTATGAAATTTGTGACATTGGAGAAAGTTGTCATAATTCATCATGTAGTTGTGGTTCTCAAGGAAAATGTGGTAAAGGCGAACTTTGTCAATTAGATATATGTATGTGTGGTAGAAAACGGGGTGGTTGTCGTCCATATGAACATTGTATTAATGGTATATGTGTTTGTAAAACAAGTTCATGTGATCAATGTAATAATACATGTAAATCAAATGAAATATGTTTAGATGGAAAATGTATATGTACAAATCAGTGTCAAAACGGTAAGATTATTTTAAAAAAATCAAGAAAAAAAATAAAAGATAAATTATATTGATTTTTTTTTTCTAGCTTTTTGTCCATTTCCATGTTTGAATGGAGGACGATGCACAGGTTTTTATCAATGCACTTGTCGTCGAGGCTGGCAAGGTTATCGATGTGAACGCCGTGACTCTATTCTCGAAAAATAATGTCTTTTGTTTTTCAAGATAAAACTATAAAATAAAATAATAATGAAAGTCTATTAAGAAAAAAAAATGATTGCTTCGTTCATGACGAGATAATAAAAAAACGAAGAAAGCTTTAAACAATAATTATTCTGATGTTTATTTATTTACTCAACAAAGACTGCATTTAGAATAAATATAATATTACTTTTTCTAAAAATCCAAATTATTTCACCAGAATTCTTTTTTGAGTTTGCACGTACTATTCTTAGTGTATACTCACATGTTGTATTGCTCAATATTCTTTACTTGATCGAACAACATCATTTGAATTACATATCAGATGTTTAGCTATTTTATAATGCATATTATATTGTTGACAGATTATTTGATTGATTTTCATCTTTATCATTAATTATGTCAAAGTCAGAAATTTTAATTAAAAAGAAATATATTATTTAGTAACACAAATAAACTTATTTAGATTATAATATACTCGATATAATTTTACTTTTTTCGTATTTATTCAATGTAAAAATGGATTGTCTATCAGTAGAAGGTTGTAATACATTACGGTCACCATTTTGTGCAAGATATTTAATCAGTATGAGTTATACAATACACATTTTTATTTAATACTTGATTATTTTTATCTACAAATTTTTCTCGTTTGTTTTTTTTCAAACATGTTTCATATATATATATATATCATTATCACCTAATATTCAATAATAAATTATATGCTAAAGCTGTTATATATATATATATATTTCTATTAGTATTTTCAGCTAGATTATATTTTTTTCTTGTTTTGTATTACAAAACATTCTATTTTTTTTTTAAGTACAAAAAAGTTAAAAATCAAAAATTCACACTGGTCTAATCATAATTATTGCTAGACTAAAATAACATTAAATTTTAAATAATATAAAAAAATATGATGACGATTTTTATTCTTATGAAATTTCAAGTGCCCATGCTTCATAAGGACGAAAATCAAGCCAATCTAATTTATTATCTTGTTCATAATTACTAATTAATAATTGTTTATGATTCTTTAAACGTTGAGAAAGTTCAATATCATCAATTTTAGTTTGTTCTGGACTAAAATTAGATGCAATTATTAATTCTTGACCTTCATCATTATAACGTTTGTATATAAATATATGTGTATTATCTCTATGTAATATATCATAATTACCATGTACTAGAATTGCCATTTGTCGACGTAATTCAATAAGTTTTTGATAATAATAAAAAATTGATTGTGGATCTTCAAGAGCTTGTTCAACATTAATATCTACATAATTTGAATTAACATTAATCCATGGTATTACATCAGCTGCACCATTAGTAAAACCAGCATGTGGTAATTTACCAGACCATTGCATTGGTGTACGAGCATTATCACGTGATTTAGCATAAATAGCTGCCATTATTTCTTCTAATAATAAACCTTTTTGAATTGCATCACGATGAAAATTTGTTGTTTCTATATCACGATACTCGGCTAATGTTGAAAATCGAACATTAGTCATACCTGAAGAAATGAAAATTCGATATAGAAATTTAATATAGTGTATGAATTCGAATTCATAAATAAAATTCAGTTTCATTGTCGAAACTTAGAAAGTATGTTAGTTTTGGTATAGATCACAACATTTTGACGATATATGAAAAGTATGTAAGTGATTTTAAATCGAGAAGAACATGAGCAGACGTTTACTTATGAGTCCCGTTCAAAAACATTCCGAGACTAATTTTATCTAAAAACAATACAAATCCGTGTTACATTAGTATTATTATCTGTGTGTACTTCGTACAATTTTCAATCTATGAACAGTTAAATATTGCTGTTCAGATATAGCAATACGTTTTAGATCACTTCATAAACACTGAGAGAAATCTAGAAACTTGAGTAAAATTTTATGTTTTATATCATGAATTTCCATCCAATATCTATGAACGTATGGTAGTAACTAATACTAATAATGAACTACCGCCAGCTATGGTTTTTAAACGGACTCGTCGTTATAAAGATGGATAAGTAAGCATCGATATATGAATGATATGTAGTTTTTTAGGTGCTGTTGAATGTAATGTTCATTTTGAACAGATTTGAGTCATATGTAATCGATCATGTAAAATGTCTTGTATCATATAATTGATTTAGTTAGTGTCTGCTATTTGCTGATTTGAGTCATTTCGATGACTAAGATCTTCGAACTGTTTTAGTATTCGATTCGTTCACATCAATAATAAAATTTTCTATCAATGTGTGTGCAATGATCTAAAAAGTATTGATATACTATCTATACATAAATACGTAATCGATTAGAGCTTGTGACATCTATAGATTGCGGACTGTATGACCTACACATACACACAGATAACAATACTAAGATAGAAATGCTTCTTGTTGTTTGTAATGGAAATCAATCTCGACATTTTTTGAACGACCCTTGTACATATATCATAAGAAAAACTGTAAAATTTTTGTTTCGAATCTAAACTTATGGATTTCTTAATGAACATTCTGAATGACATATTTGTCACAAGGAATATTGAAGAATACTTTAATTAACAGGGAACCTTGACGTAATATAAAACAATTTTTGATCCTATGAGAATATCCATTTCTTTGAATGATGATTGTGCAGCATAACTAAAGATACGATATAAAAAATTGTAAAGTATGATTAACTCATTCAATCGAATTCTCTTCTTCTTTATAAAACTACAAGGAAAAAAAAAACCTATTTTAATTTATTTACCGATTTCTTCTCCTTGATAAATATAAGGTGTTCCACGAAGAAAATGTAAACATGTTGCAAGCATTTTTGCTGATAATACTCGATATTGTGGTGAATCATTTCCCCATCGTGAAACAATTCTTGGTTGATCATGATTATTCCAATATAAACTATTCCATCCTCTTCTATATAAATATTTTTGCCATTCTGTAAAATGATCTTTTAAAAGTCTTAAATCAAGTAATTTTGGTGTCCATTTACCACCATCTAAATCCATATGTTCAAATGTAAATATCATATTTAATTCATTTCGATCAGGTGAACTAAATAATTCGGCATCTTTTAAACGACCACCTTTGAAAAGATCATATTAAATAAGAACAAAACAAATTTTCGTTGAAATCAATTTTACCTGGACATTCTCCAACAGTAACTAGATTATAATGTCTTAAAACTTTTTCATGCATTTCTTGAATATAATCATGTACATGTGGTCCATTTATGAAATATGGTGAACCATCTGTATGTTGATCATCATCAATAGGTTCACCTTCGGGATAACCATCGGCTTTAGAAATAAAATTAATAACATCCATACGAAATCCATCAACACCTTTATCAAGCCACCAACGCATTATTTTATAAACTTCTTCACGTACCAAAGGATTTGTCCAATTGAGATCTGGTTGTTTTTCTGTAAATGTATGTAAATAATATTCACTCGTGATAATATCGTATGTCTTTAAAAAAAAAGAAAACAGAAGAAAAATATTTCTTGAAAATCAATTATATTAATTTGAAAAATAAAGTCTTTACCCAACATGAACCACCAAAACAAGCACGCCATCTATTTGGTGGTTGTCCATGTTGACCAGGTTGCCAGTGATAAAAATGTCTATATGGATTATCTTTAGCTTTTTTTGATTCAAGAAACCATGGATGTTCATCACTTGTATGATTAACAACAAGATCCATAACTAATTTTAAATGACGTTTTTTCATTTCTTTTAATAGAAGATCAAAATCATCCATGGTACCAAATTCAGTCATAATTTTTGTATAATCACGTATATCATAACCATTATCATGATTTGGTGAATCATAAACTGGACTAGAAAAATAATAATAATCAAAATTATGATTTGTTTTTAGTAAAGAAGATATTTTTGTTTTTCTAACCTTAACCAAATAATATCGACACCTAATTTTTTAATATAATCAAGTTTCATTGTTATACCATGAATATCACCAATACCATCACCATTTGAATCAAAAAATGAACGTGGATAAATTTGATACACAACTGAATGACGCCACCAATCTTTATGAGATTTTTCAGTTTTTTCTGTCATTGTAATAGAATTAGTTTTTGTTAAAAAATAAACAAAATCTTTTCTATTAAGAATTCGTTTTTTACTTAAATTATATACAGAAAGTTTACTTCTTAAAATACAATTGGAATGATATAAATAATTGAACGTTCTTTTTGACAGTAAAGTACAAATTTGTGAGACGGCAGACATTATATCATATTATACTCAATGAACTTTCCTAGAGATGAAAACGTTGGCGCAATGCAATAGACAATAGAGTAATGAAAAAAAGATACAATGTATATTTATATTTCGAATTAATCAGTTGAATTGAATATAAAAAATTAATAATTATTATTGGTAAATTATGCAAAATCAAAGTAGATGTCACTGGTCGCTTGTTCGAATTCTGGAAAATTTTTGATGATAAAATAGTACTATTGATTTGAAGAATACATTCCTATTTTTTTCTGAGAAAAAAAATTATTGAACAAGGTCATGGACTTTAACTTGTTATTCATGCCTCTGTAGAAAAAAAAGCCTGACAATACCTGTAAAAAAATTATATCTTATCTTGCTCATCTATAAAGTAATATTCGTTAACTATGGTTAGTGAGGCGTAACTATCTGACGTTTTTCATTCGCTTTCTTCCTTGAATAGTCGTGTATAAGCACGTATCTATTCTTTTTACGTTTTTTTCATTCACCGTCTAACCATGGCTTCAATATCACCCGTAACAACTCCATCTTCTCATAGTTCTTCTACAACTCATCCATCTCAAATAGTTATTAGTGAAGATCTTAAACAAGCTGTTCTTGATCATCTATCTTATTTAAAAGAATATTATGATCATCCTGAACATTTTCAAAAACAATCACGCGAATATGCTGTGTATCGTTATGAAACATTTTGGCTTCCATTTATAGCTGAAAATGCTGATTTAGATATTGTACCACCACTTGATGTACTTTTTGTTTGGCATTCACATATGTTAGCACCAATAGCATATGCAAGTGATTGTGAACGTTTATTTGGACGTATTATACCACATCGTATACGTACACGTTCACCACAATTAATTAAACTTAGTGAACAATTATGGACAAAAAAATATAATCGTACAATGCCTTATCATTTAGATTATACAGCAAATATTCCAGTTATTCCACCATATACAAGCAAAATAAAATATGCTTTAACTCAAGCTGTTGAAAGACAAGCAGATTTTTATTATAATGTTTCACTTGGTCATTTTAAAGATCCTGATTTTATTAATGAAGCTATAAATCGTTATAAAAAATTTATTTATCTAAAACGTTTGAATCCACAATTATTTGTTGTACCAATGTATGATATTGATATTATTTGGCATACACATCAATTATTTCCTGAAATTTATCGTCGTGATATGATTGAAAATCTTCAACATGTTCTTCATCATGATGATGCAACAGTAGATCGTTCACCGAATTCAAAATTATCAACATCAGATCATGACACACGTCATAAATGGTTTGAATTATATGGTGATCGTTTACCAAAAAATGGTTGTATGTATCGAGGAAAAACATCAAAAGGTCTTTATCAATATATAACTGATTTTAATTTTCTACTTGAATGTCAACGATATTCAATGTATGTACAATTAATTGAAAATAATGTTCCAACAGCAGGTGCTACAAAAAAAGATATTGATCATAAAGTTAGTACAATTGTACCACTTCATGATCAGCCATTAAGTGAACCATTACGTGAACAATTATTTGCACAATTTAATTCATCTGATCAAGAAATTTTTGCTCGAGGTTCATCAGGACATATTGAAGCACATTTTGATGCTGATTTTAATGATTTTACAATAAAACTTACACTTAAAATTCAACGCAAAGCTGGTTATTGGCCAATGAATTATTATAATTCAATTGAGGAATATGATTTGCCATCGGAAAAACTGCTTTCTATTGTTCAATTTACTCAACCTGTTCAAGCAGATAATACGTTAGCAGATGATGATGATTCAAGTGCACTTTTTTATTTATATGATAAGAATGTCGAACGAGATTCTGTTCTTCGAGAAATTGTACCCAATGTGAAAAGGTATGATATATTGAAAACTATTATATTTTAGCAGATATAGTTATGTGATTGTCATGAACAAACTATCATATAGTCTCATGTCTCGAATCATTAATTTAATTGCTAGTTGATAATATCGACACACATAATATAAACTTTGATCAATGCGTCATAACGAAGGACCTTAGACATTAGGTATAGGGATAGCAGATCAACTAGCAATCAATCAATGATAAATAGCCACTTATCACTTGACAGGATTCTATTTCAATAAGATGATGTAATTTTATTTGAAAAAAAACAACACTATTCATAATATAATAAAGCATTCAAAATTCATTACTAAAAAAATTTCTTTTTTTTTTCTCTGTTATTAGATTAGTTGTTGGTATTCCAGCTATTGATATAAATACTGTAATTGTTCGGTATGACACATCTGAATATGAAGAAGTAACACTCGATCAAAATTATTTAGCTCAATTAGGTACAACATTTTTATTTAATCTTGAAAATCTTAAAGTTCAACAAGCATTACATAATATTACACCAGTACATCAAGAAGAACCAATCTTACTTAATATTCGTCATACTATTATTAATGATATTGATATATTTACAGCAACATTTGATAATGCTATATTTGCATCATGTCATACACTTAATTGGTCTCAATTACCATTACCTAATCAAGTATCGAGTATACATGATGTATCTATAATAACATTAAATCCTGATATTGAAGAAGCACTTATTATCAAAGATCATACAGGTGATTGGGGTATCCTAAAATTTAGTAAAGAACTTTTTACGGAACCATTGGATGAAGAAACACCTGAAAAAAGTGATCAAGTTAGTTTATATCGTTTTATGCCTGATGGTCATGTTGAAGAAGAAGTCGTTTATGTTGAATGGGAAGATGATAAATGGCTTATTGGTTCAAATAATTTTTGTATTGATATGAATACATGGTCAATATCAGTTAAACGAGTGGAATTAAAAAATTCTATGCAATATATTTGCTTAGGATCAGCACTAATATCACGTTTTGATACGTTATTTACACAAATAGTTGGCAATAAAGAAGATGAAACAAATTTAGCAACAACAAATGGAGACCATAATGAAAATGATGTATTAGCGAATGATGTTGGAAAAATAGATTTGAATGGATCAACTGGTATTAACGATATTAAAAATACGTTAAATAAAACAAAACCTCAAATGGCTACGAATAATGTTTAAAAATAACAAAAATAAAAACAAAGCATAAAATCAATATATTTGATTTAAACAAAAAAAAAAAAAACTTACAGTTGATCTTTGTTTGTTAACTCACATTAAAACTACTAACAAAACCTTAACCAAATAAGAAATAAAAATAATCATGACTAAGTTTATTTTTTAGAGAAACATCGATAGCAGTGCATAAAAACACATTTTTCTTTTAAAAAACTGTGTACATAGTGAATAATATATTTGACGCTGTATAAATTTGATTGGATGCGTCTTTCAAGAGTCACGTGAAGGAACGAACAAAATAATTTATTTAACTAGGTTTTTTCTCAGACGATGTTGATTTAACGATACTTCATACTTTTTTCTTCCAACTGAAATTTTTTTATTAACAAAATATATATGCACATGTACTATTATAAATAGTCTTTTCATTCAATAACATAAGTGGCAAGAATAAAAAGATGACCAGTCATAAAACTAAAGGTGAAAAAAGAAAATTGCACGGTAGGAAAAAATATCTATGTGTAACCATCCAATATATGGTGTGGTTAAAACTTATAGAGAATTCAAATGATATATCAATTGATCATTGCTTCGTTGCACCATATGAAATATGTGCCAATTCTTTAAATCTTTTTCAATTTTTAATATCAGGATATTTATTCGATCATCAATCATTTACAAGTTTATATAATAAAAGGTAAATGGCAGATATATTATCATGAAAATTATTAATAGAATAATTTAGTTTAAATAATGGATGGAAAGAAATATTTCTCAACGAAAGGGAAAGATTAAAGAAAATAAAACCAAATGAAAACTCAGTAGTAAAATGTTTTCTTTTAAATCGATTACTTCATGAATATGAACAGGTATGATTATTTAAATTTTTTGACTAACTCACATTTGATAAAAAGAACAAAAAAATCAATATATTCATCCTATTTAATATGTCATATTAGAAGTCTTTCGAATTTTAAAATCAAATAATACTGTTTCTTCTTTTTTTTTTTTTTTATTTAAACAATTTCAATGGTTTATATTTGAGAATCCACATGGCTTTGTTCAACAAACAAAAGATTTACATGATGAAATTAGTTTACGCATGTGCTCTCATTTTCCCAAATGGGTATATTACTAAGAATGTATTGTTATATCAGACAGTTGGATTTGAGATTCTTTTAGGAATGTGAAGATCTATTTCGTGAAGTTCGACACTGGCGAGATATACAAGATCGACGACATCTATTTCATTTTAATTATAAAGAAGAAAATCATAGGCATAGTTTGCCTACTATTTTGATGTTACAAAAAGCGTATGTTGCAATATATAATAATTAATACTTCTTATGAATTGTTCCTTTAAATGATTAGTATGACTAGCTGGTGTCAACATTTGATTCAGTATTGTCAAACAAATATGCCTTATTGGAACAATGAAGGACGTGATTCATTTATTAAACTCATTGAACAGTGAGTTTTGTTGCTCCTTTTGTGTAATAAATATGATTAATGTTCATTTTTTTACAGTTCATTCATTATTGTTGTTCAACCAACTGGTCCAGATGGTTTTCCAGTTACATATTATAAGAAGGACAATTTTGGTCAATCAGCAAAGTTAAATGCACGAATCATCTGTTTACTAGATTCTGATGTGCTTCAAAATTCTGTACAACTATCAAATATTGGTATAAGTTCTTCTGTGATATAACATTGTGATCTATATTATTAGTCTGTCTTCAGATGTGACACTTTGTTCATTGAATCCAGATGTTAATGATAAAGGATTGATACAAACACCCATTGTATGGCAAACGCAACATATTACGAGTGCTGAAGGTGAACTAATATCAATCTTATATGCTGAAGTCCATAATCTTACAGTTAAAAATGCCTATTCGAAACGTAGCAGTGGATTGTTTTATTCAAATCTTTGTCAATTAAAATTTCGTACAAAAGTTAAAATAATATTTCATCTTGCTGACAAAAAAAATATGATATTCGAACATTATATAGAATTATTATCACAACCGTTTGGAATTTCCTCTCATTCACAACATTCTTCCAGTATTGTTGCCAAAGTTTTCCTTTACGAAATTGGACAAATTTTAGAAAAGGTGAGCTAGGAAAAACACAAGAAACAATAGTCATTGATCCATTTTAGGAACAAAAAGTGATTAACACAGATATTCTGACTGAATATACTTGTCGATATCATACACGTATGCTAGGCGTAAAAACAAAACAACATACAGCTCAATTCATTCGTGAAGTCTTTTCAAAAGCATTTAATGGTTTAGTAGTTGATAATTATAACTCTACAAATTAATCAATATCTATTTTAGATGTCGAACATCGTATGACAACTATGACTTTAAAATCTCTGATTGAAGTAAGTTTTAATTCGATGATATATTGATATTATCAATTATAATTTTTAAAGAAAAGATTGACGCAATTTATAAGTCAAATAAAATTTTTTGTTGACTATCCAGTTTTGGCAATAATGTATGATGATAGGTAGTATGCAATAATGATTGCTTTTGGGCTGATTACTTTTTAGTATTATTTTCTTATAGTCTTTTTCTTGGTATATGCAATAAAACTAAAGTAGATGAAAGTCTATTAGGAACTTCAGAAGAACCACAAATGTTGTTACGTTTTAATGATCTCTGGAATCATTCATGCAATGAAAGTCCTGAAGTTCGATGTATTATTCATAATGGTAGAGATCAAATAAGCAGATTTTATCTTTTAAAAATAAAATATCATTTAATTCTTATAGGTAAAGTTACAAAAGCTTCTATTAGTAGAAAAGCATTTATCGATGAAATGTGCATATTTATCTATGAATCGACAATAGAAGCAGTAAGACAAACAGTCATTTTTTCCTACTCAGGTAGACATGTTCTTCGTGATTTTCAACGGTATTATGGTAAGTGATTATAATTGATGTGAAACGTTAAATATCATGCGATGTTATTTAGATGAAGCAATATTTGTATTAAGCAAAAGTAAACCTCCAGGCGCAAATGATTATCAACCATTGATTCCTATTCTTTGGTATTTACGATAGTTCTATTGAAATGCGTGATTATACTGTTTTAAAATAATAATCTTTTCTCTAGTATAGAAAAACTAATGTTCTATGAATTTGAAAAAAAAAACGACTTTATTCACAGACAGAATATTTATACTAACACACTTTAATTACCATTAGTCTTAATTCTTTGTTCTTACTCTATGTATTCTGTTGAGTAATTGTAAATCGTATGCGACTTCATCATTTTTTTGTCACTATCTCAGTGATTTCAATAGTAGTGAACATGTACTATTACTCTATTAATAGAAATTATATGAAAGCTATTGCAATTCATAGAGAAAAGACAGATTATTTATTGTTTAAATTGTGATTTATTTCGAGTTTTTACGTATTTTTTTTAGGAAAACGATGCCCCAACATAATACAGATGAGAATTTCCAATTACAATCAAATAACTTATCAACTGAGTCTCTCTATCCTTCAAATTTGAGTAAAATACTATATGACTGTTTGTGTATATTGCCTATATGTTACACTTTTCTTTATTTAGTTAATGATCGATTGGTAATCACATGCACAACGAATCAACAAGACTTGCAAAATAATTCAACTATTTTGAATTTTAAAGTAACAATACCAGTTGCAGCAAATATAGATCCTGTTCCAATTGTTCACAGTTTGCAAGAGAAATTTCGAGAACTACTTGAAGTTCAAAATAAAAATTTCTCTGAAACTCAGTCTATTCAGTCTTTACAAACAAACACGTCTCCACTTCATATAATCGATGTAGACATGAATCAAGGCATAGACTTATCCATTAATGAGTTCGATAATGATCAAAATGGAGGACTTCGGGTAAGATGTTTTCAAGAATAAAATAGCTACCATATTTAATTTTTTCAGACTCCGATGTTGCAAACAGATTCCCTATTTGGTTTTCTCGATGATGATCCTCAGTCGTCTGGACAATACTAACTTCTCAACCATGAGGTGGCGAATATGTTTATTTTCAGTTCATACAGTCGAAAAAAAAATGAGTCGCTTTTGTAACAAATTGTAAATGTTGTCGTTTTTTTCAATAACCAAAAACTATATTGTATCCTTGATAATTATAATCAAAATATGATGCATTTAAAGGTGTGAACATAAGTTAGTCTTTCAAAAACTCCAATAACAAACATTTGCTAAAGCAAATGAAGTCATTATCTTTGTTCACAAAGAGTGTTCTGCTCATTATGATCTAATTTTGATTATTACTTGAAAGGGAAGAAAAACTGATAGACAAAGTTTTATTTGTTACAATAAGGAAAAAAAAGAAAACACGGTTTTAATAAAAATGTTGTGGTTGAATTATTACTGATAAAGTATGATCCATCATTTGAGATCGCTCGACTGCGTTAGAATTTCCACCACAAAAGACATACAATTTTATTGAACATCAAAATTACGCATGCACGATTAATCTTGAATTTCGCAAAGGGCAAAGATTTATTTATTTAACTGGAAACACTAAAGTATATATCTCATATTTCTTGTCTAATAAAGCTAATTAATTTTCAACTTTTTACTTTTATCCCATACTGTCATTGCAAATAGATGGCATTCAAAAGAAAGATTTGATATATTTAAATGATAATTGTGCAAAACTAACAAAACAACAAATACATTCAGTATCAGTTGATCAAGCACGTCGGTCTATCGTCATATGAAACGAATAGAACTAAGTCGTGTTTTTAATGATAAATCCTAGTTGCAATGCTTTGCAAAACAGCAATATTACTAGTCAGTGGTGTAGGCAGGAATATGGTTATCGGCCCATTGTTCCTGGATTTTTTTGAAATTATACCATTTCTGCAATACCTAAAAGTCTTGATAATACACATGTACAAAGAACTAAGTAGTGTAATTTAATAGATTGTATGTTTTCTGTGATTCAATCAAGTGATCCAGAAAGTTCAGTTGACTACTTTTTTTATTTAATCGATGCTAACAATGATGGCTATTCAATGGTATTTGTTTATGTAAATATTCGTTATTTTACTCAAATCCCCTAATAGTTCTATAAAGGGTGTTCACTAAGTTTTGATCCGCTGAATCCATAAATTTATGGATTCAGCGGATCAAAACTTACGTAACACCTTTTATGTGCTTATTCATGCTTTGTGACATAATATATTCAAATATTTGAAATTTGAAGGGTACATTTGTGAAACTATAAATAAAGCGAACGAGCTCGAGTCTTATTGAGATTAACAAGCTTCTTTTCAAAAAACATCAGTTTTTAAGATGACAATAAATTTTTTAAAAAATCCAGTCCAACTGATTTTTAATTTTTCAACGCTAGCCAGTTCTCAAAATAATTTAGTTGAAAAAAGACCCATGACTTAAAAGTTTCTGGCTGCACCAATACCTCTGCAGATTGACACTGTTGCAGTCATTTCATTTTTGTTCAGATGTTAGATTGAGTATAGAACAATTATTTATTAGCTTCACACACTTCTAGTATATTCATTTGCAGTTAGTAATCAATGATCATTGTATTAGTGTTTTTCAGATGCTGGTTTGCATTGAATAATAAATAGAAATCAAAGGTACCACATATGACGTGATTGCTAAAGATTGTCCATTTGCGTCGATTATTTAGAAAAATTCTTTCAGTAGCAACCTTGATTAGCTTATTGCAAACTTTGCTGCTGTTTCTTTCTCAGCATGAGAGTATATGGAAATAACATTTTTGAACTTGATCAAGGTCTAGATATGTTATTCATTCGTGAAAATATGACTTGAGATGCTAAATATCTGATAATAATATTAAAACTAACATAAATGCCGGAGATTGGCAATCGATTTCATTGGTTGAAGCATCATGTACTTCATTAGGCTAATAATTTTGATCACTTGTCCAGAATCACGTCCCGCTTTACAGAAAAAATTCAAAAAGTAAACAGAAAATATTGCTGGTGTCATCAACGGAAATGGAATGAAACGAATAATCGTTGCTAATTAAAAAGTTGAATGGTGTTCTTAAAAAAGACAAGGAAAAAAATGTACCTTTTAGACAGATCCAAAACAACCGTGAAGTTGTAAGGAGTATCCGTGATGGTTTGATCAAAACCCAAGATGATTCGAGTGATTGCCCATAAATTTTGAAATTCATTGCCCCAACGGACATTTTCGGCACACTTTAACAATCAATTCAGATGATAAACCGATATATCAATGTCGCTAAAGAATTTGAAATTGAATCGAAAACGGACTTCTTGTTTATTCTCTCTGGGTCAGAATTTATGAACTTAGAGTAATAAAGACTTCACAGTATCCGTACTTGATCATGGCAGCGCGAAATGATGCAATTCCAATTATCACCTTAAATTCTGTTAAACACTGTAACGACAAGAAATATGTGCAAACTTGTAATGCAAAAACGACATATTATAAACACTACTATATATAATGGATGATTTAAAAACATAAGAACAATTAAATGAAACCTTTACTATACAAGAAGAAACTTAGAATTAGTAAGATGCATCAGTACGTTGAAAGAAGAATTCGAAATACTTGAGCGTACAAATGAATATTCCAGGAAGTTTATATTTAATCCCAACCGATGAGAAAGAAGAAACGGATGAAACAATATATGGCATTGAACCAAGCGCTGATGAAATAGACAGTAATTATAGACTTAGGCTTGTATAATCTTCTTGAAATTATTTTCCAGAATAGGATAATGTTGAAGCTCGCCTCTAACGGATATTTATCATTCTATAACTAAAAGCTTCACACAAAATTATAGCAACAAGTGACTTTTTTTTAATGATTCGTATGTGATTCTCACAGTTTCTATTGTGCTGTTTTATGTTTACTTTGCACTCCACACATGCTTTTATTTGCTCTTTCGTTCAATAACAACTGTATTCTACACTGTTTTTCTTATCCATATGTGTACTTCAAACATTTGTTGACATGGACTCGCTCCTGAAAGTCCGTTTTTCAAACGCAGGCGAATAGTCAAACGGAAACGTTGGAAACGCTAAGAAATAGATCATTATTGAAAGCTCATCCAGGATGTCCCATAAAACTATCATGTCAATGCGACGGTGGGTGTTGAAGATGGTAAAGCAAATATTGGTATCCACATCCACACTCTAGACCTACAAAAAATAATCAGTTCGATGCATAATATCAGATTACATACTCAACCTGAAACCAGAACATTAAGGATTCGACAGGTCATTTTGTAGAGTTATATGCTCTCATTTTGTTGAATTTTCGGCCTGTTACTCGAGCCTACTGTAGACGGTAACTAGAATTAGACTAGAATTGACTCACTAAAGAATCAGATGATCAGAAGAAATTCTAAAAATTGAATCACAATTTTATTTTTATTAAACAAAAAAAAGATTGCGAGTTTGGGACTTTAACCTGAAATAGATGAGTTCAGAAAAAATATAAACGAATATTCATCACAACTAATATGAATAACATGAGGAAAGCATAATTCTGTTATAAGGCATTTGTAGGATTTCCAGCATTGTAGAGCAGATTAATCTCTTCTTCACTAAGCTCCTTGCCGTTCCAGAACGCAAAGTTGGAATACCGCCCACTTGCTCCTCCACAACCAATTGATTTGCCGCTAGAAGTGTCATTCGAAAGCACAAACTGGTCGGCATTTGGCGATGAATATGACATGTAGGTCGGTGCCGTACCAACATATTTTCCATTCACAAAGAGCTTGGCAGTATGCCCATTAAAGGTCATAGTGAATAGCATCCACTCCTTGTTGTTAAGATTACAAGATGAGATACGATTGTTTAATCCATTACCACCCAAGTGAAGACCAGAGCTACCATTAGAGTAAGTAAATAGACCATACAAACCGAACGGATGTTTGACATCGCTGCTCCATAACATCATCGAAGTCATTGATCCTGACCCAGATCGATACCAAGTAGAGATGGAATGTTGAGGAGTAATGGTGATCCCTGCTGGTCCCAGGCGATACTGAGCTTGGGTGTCAGCAGTAAATTTAA